TTTCTTTACTTTTACTACTTTAACACCTTTCACCTGGCTGAAACACACAGCTCTGACAGTTGGTATGTAGTATTACTACTCCCTAAATTACGTTTGGTTGTGATTGACAGTTCCAGTTACCTTGTTTGAGTTGAGATAATGGTGACTTGCTGATCTGTGTAGAGCTGAACAGTGCAAGAAGAAAACTTTTGGCTGGAAGCTTTAAACATGAAAAAAGGGATTAAAAAAGGGATAGCTGCAACAACACTTGGTGCAGGGTGTAGTATTTCCTTTGTTGCTCTTTGTGGAGCTCAGCAACAAGTGAGTTTTCCAAATTTAATATGACCTGGCAGAACTATATTTGTTGCCCGTGCATATTTTACAGATATACCGCTGTAGCTTCAAGCAGACATATAACATTAAACAGCTTACTGGTATTGCCAAAAAAATTATCTATGCCTCAAATACACTTATACACAAAATGCACTTATACACACATTCATTCATGGATTTGTCGTGTTAAACTGATTCGTCCATCCTTGTGTGGGGATTGTATTTCTGCAAAGATATGGGTAAACCATCCCATACCAACCATATCACCAGACAAGAATGAAGCAAAGCTTGTGGGCTAAGAGGCAGTCACATCCACCCTAACACTATACCTAACGCACTCTTTCAATCATGGTGGTTTACTTAAACCATTAGCTTCAGTTCATTTAGATTATTACATTACATATATGTAGACAGAAACTTAACCAACCAACCAATCAAAACACAAATGACAAACTATGATCATGACAATATAGCATGTTAAAGGTCCCACCTCCACCCCACCATCTACCTATGGGCTCTCAGTTCCCTCATTGTGCGAGTTATTATCCTTAATCCCCAATCCCAATCCTTTCTGTGCCGATGGACTGTTAGTGTTTCTTGCAGGGAGTGACAAGATTTTGACTTGGACTTGTAAACATCTCTGGTAGATATTAATATTAAAACTGTCATTTTTCCTTAAACTTCAAGCTTTCACCCCATGAGCTTCTAGAACTGCAGCCAGCATAACAGCCACACAGCCTAGTTATCTGATTATAGTCAAGTGGCCCTTCCTCTGCCAGCTCCTCTAAAGGACCTGGCAGGAAGTAACATGTCATCACACCCTCTGTGACTTCTTGGAGAGCTCCTGAAGTTTGTTGTTTTTAATTTGAGCCAGAGTCGGTTGCTTGGAATTGAATTACTACTCCTAGATCTACAGGCTCTCCAAAGTTCCAGGCAGGCTGCTGTGAAATTGCCTACACCAGCCCACTGCGACAAAAGTTCCAGTACGTCTTCATTTTCTCACTTCTGAGGACTTTGTTCAGACTCTGGAGCAAGGGTGGAGGATACTTGGACGACTAAACATGACTTAAGTGCAACTGGCAGTCGTCGACAAACCTGATGCTTAGGACCAGCTGTCCAACAACAATACAGAGACTCTTTTCACTGTGTAGGGCCCCAGTCTATCCACATTACTCAAGTGGTACAAAGGCAGCCTTGTACAAGCCATTAGGCAACATTGGTTATGGTACTGGTAAATGCGCTATTAGGCTTGGGGTGCTTAACATGATAGTAAAGATCTTTGGTTGGGCTGGGTAATGAACAGAAATACTTTTTTTTGGCAGGTTAAAATGAGTCTGTAGCACTTAGTATGAAAGTGAAAACTGTCACGGAAAGCTTGCATTTAATGCCTGTAAACATTGGGCTTGGTTACTTGTTTAATCAGATACTTATTGATTTCAATCATAAGTTTGCCAATCGCCCAAAACAGTATTTCATTTAAACAAAGTTCTTGGACATGTGCTTTTGTTTAGGCACCATTTAACATCTGAGTTTGATGTTTGCAAAATTAAAAAACAAATAAAAAGTTTAACAATTTAGGGCTCTATCTATCTCAGCGCAATTGACTTTGTACACTAGCGCTTGTATAATTCCTATTTTACATTTGACGCACATTGGAATTTTCCCTCCACCGATGCACGTCCTTAAATTAGACAATGAACTTGCGCTCCGGGGGGCGGTTCAGCGAAAAGATGAGGCGTGTTCCGGCGCAAACGTTGCCTGGGGCTATTTTGCTGTTTCAGAAAACAATTCCGCCACAGACCAGGAAAAACCTAGTCTAAAGTCAGTGGCGCTTATTCAGATGCTATTTTAAGGGCGCAGACTTGAGGGGATGTGCCTGAGAGGCAGCAGCAACATCGCCACCCGGTCAAGACGGGCATTAATACTTTGCCGCATCCCGGACAGCTCCCGCTCCAGCATGTCAAACCGGGTTTGCTGCAGGAACGGGTGGTCCTCCGGCGTGTAGTGGGTCTGGATCCTCTGCACCTTAGTGTTTGCGCTGCTCCCTCCTCAGCTGGCCCTTGCGCACTGCTCGGCCCGTGTGCACTGCTCCCAAGGCCAGGGTCTTCTTCCTGGAAGCTGCGTTACATTGTTTGGATTTATTGTATGGCTGTGTTTCATTTATTTCATGTCAGTAATGTCACTTCTCTGTATTTTATGGCCCTGACGAGAACGTCGGTCTCCTCGGCTGTGAACCGCTCCTGGCGTGCGCCTGGCAAATCCGCCGTTATAATAGCAATCCGCCATGGAACAAGCGCGCCTGCTTTTAAAGGGAATGTGAGATGACGCTCTGATTGGTTTATTGCACGTTACGCCCAAACCACACCTATGACTAATGTAGCTACTTCAGACCAACCCATTTTAGATTTGCGCTGGGCGCAAGAGTCATTTAACCCGCCGGCATAATAGCAACAGCGCCGAGATCCGCCCACAAATCTACTTGCGTTTTGGGGTCCAGGATCTTGCTTAGGATACTTCGACATGCAGCAGGAGGAGCCAGGGATTGAACCACCAACCTTCTGATTACCTCCTGAGCAACAGCCACCCTATAAAGACAATGTGACAAAAGTGATGTAGGATGGTGATTGTTCTCTCCCTGCTACGTGGGATTTACCAACAGGGAACTGAAGTCTTTTATGCTGTCCTTAAAGCCCACAAAACCTTGTTTAGAGTTGCTGGTCTACCACTGCCTCAATTAGTTTGTTTGTGTGACTTTTATCGTATTAATACATTTTAACGGACTAGAGCCGTGGGTACCGGCAGCTAAGATGAACTCAGTGGGCCGTTCAGTGCTGTAGTGGGATCTCCGAGGCCCTTGGGAGCTCTGCAAGCTGCTGCGTTTTTTCCCCCACCCCCTGTCCTGCCTTGTCCGGGGTTAAGGTCCGGGATTTTATTTTTTATTTTAATGTGTTTGTGTAGTTTTGATGAACATATTCGCAGGCAAGTTTTTTGCATTTTTTTGTAATTTATTAGTCCTTGATCTTTGAATTTGTACATTTTGAGGACAAAATAACTGAAACACCTTTTTTGAGGGTTGCTAATACAACCTTCATTCAATCGTCATTCAACCTTCCCCCTTTTACTATACCAACCTTTATCAACTTTATATCTTTATATCATATCTTTAAGTGTCAAGATAACCCCCTGAAGGCCACAAGCCAAAACATACCTTGGTCTCACAGTAAAGTTGTTCTTTATACAAGTTCTAAATGTCCGGACATGCTAATCATGTCAAGTCTCCATGTTTTACATGACTTTAATAAAGCCACTTCAGTTTTATGCCATTGATATAACATACCGTATGCTTGAATAGAATTTCATACACCCTGCTGTTCTCTAAGAATCCTGCACATATTAAAACCCAGAGAAATATATACATAGTCACTGGCTGTGACCTCTAATACCAGTCTTTCTCAGGGAATCCGACCATATTCATTTCCACCCCCCGAGCCATGCCAAGGCAACTTAATTTAAAATATTTAATACAGTGCCCCAGCTCGAGAGCCAATAACTCTGGTATGCATTTATACAGTACTATATATGTGCTGCAAATATGTACTTCATTAACCTGTTAAAGGTTGGGAATATGCTGAGCAGTGGAAACATTTAAACAAACTTCCTGTCAAGTGGAAATTGCATTTTCACATTTCCAATATTGTAAAGTTGTTATTTGTGCTGCTGGAGTTTCCACATCTATCAGGCAGGCAAAGTTGAAAATAGATGGAATGAAGACATATGCATCTGTTTATCTGCTTTTCACATGAAGAGTTTCACTCAAAACAAAATGTTGAAAAAGTGAACATCAAGTATTTATATATTTATTGGTTGGTTTGTTTATTTAGAAATATTCCAGTAAGTAATGAATACTTATCTCTTTGTCAGCATTTTTACATCAAATCCTTTGTGACCGACCGAATGAATGATCAATGCCGAACCATCAGATGGAATGTGATTAAAACTAATTTCCAAGCACACATCCTCTACTTGGCTCTTCCCATTACACACAGTGTTTTTTGGATTTAAATAACTCCAAGCAAACACAGAAAACATCTCATGAAAGGACCACTATTGGCCAAAACACAATTATGGATTTAATCTGGGTGTTAAATTTGATGAAAACCTGCGAGATGCGTGAATGGTGTAGATCCATCTGCTAGTGGGTGGGTTGCTGTAGCCAGATGGCATTTTAATAGCCAAGCCTCGATAAATAAATGCTGGAGGCAATGAGAGAGGAGCAGGCCAAAGCTGAGATGGCTCCCGAAGGCCTGTGGCCAACCCAGCAAGGACTGACAGGCTGCCAAGACAGGTGAGAGCCCCAAGTCCCAGCAGACAAATATCTTTGTTATGTACCTCCTATAGAGCCTGACTTTGAGGAAGGCTGGTGATTTGTTTTGTGTACATGTATGAAACTGGCAGAGAGATATTAGGCCTGAGCTGAGGGTGTACTCTCTAAAATGACCTAGAAAGCTCATGGGATGGACTATTTGTACAAGGTCAGAAGGTGGGTGGGAAAAGGGGTGTAAGGGTATTTCAGATTTCCACTGTGTTAAGCACTGAGGATTAACTTGGAGAACATGAGGCTTAGAGGTGGAACCAGAGTGAAAGAAGACATGTATGTGAATTGGACACAGGACGGAGCTGATACCTACATTGTTCGGGTGTAAGGTGGGGTAGGGCCTGCCCTCGTACCAGCCGGCATGTAGAGCCGTCGCCACCACAGACGCCGCAGTTATCCTCCCTGGCAACGCTGGCCAGCTGGCGATCACAGCCCACCTCCTGCACAAATAAAGACAGAGATATGGGGCTGACCGATGGATAAAGAGATGGAAAGACAATACAGTGCGCTCAAATAAAGGCTGGATCATGTGTTGCACTGATACTAGTCTCGCAATACCAGACGCTCTCAGTGCCTATCAATCATTTGGGGATTTCTAAATGCAAAGTAGTTGCTTGAACGGCGACAAGAACACCCACTAAGAAACATACGCCGCTTATTTAAAGGACATGCCTCGTCTGAAACCATGCTCTCCTACCATTCTCCTCCACAGTAAAACAAACTGGAGATATTATTGAATCACACTGAGAGAGCTTTTTAAAACATTGCAAATGGCAATTACACACAATTGCTTAAAGGAAGATGGAAGTCTGGACTTTCATCCATATAATCAGTTTTTCTTTACAATGAGCATTACAGCCTCACAGAGCTGCTAGCAAGGCTCGAGACTCTTGTAGAGTCTTTTTTACACTTTAGATCAACAGCCAGACCTACACTCTTGGATGTCGCTGTAGATTTCGAAGCACAATACTGTATATACCTACTGTAAAATACCTTAGTTTATATTGCATTGTGGCTCATTTTTATCAAGTGGGAATATTTTACAATATATTGTAGTATAGTAATATTACAATATTAGTAACCGCAGACTTTATGAAATATGATTAATAATATCGATAATAATTATTGGTAATCATTATAATTAGAAATAATATATCAATATTAATACAACTGGATATATTACAGTACTAGGTAATAAAATACAGCAGAAATACAATAAATTACAAAATACAGTGCATATACAGTAAAGTTGTAGTAATACAGTATTGTTCTATACTATTAACCGCATCACATCACAGTTACAGTAGTTTATTGTAAACTAAAATACAGCAACTTGCTGGCAACTGTGCTGCCAGTAATTTAGTGTACACGGTAAATCATTTCCTTGAATATTTACAGTATCTCCACACTCCGTTTTAATGCTGTGCCAGGGCTGGAGAAAGATCTGGCTGAACCCACTATAACTCTGGTATGGGAGAAAAAAACGCTGGCATGTTTGTATTTCTTTAAGCCAATCACAATCGTCTAAGCCCAGGATGCAGCTTGGTATTTCATTTTAGGTCGCAATACGCTTGTATGCAGTCCCAAGCAACACGAATGCATGACAAAAATCCTCATGAGATGCAATTGTAACAAAAGTGGCAGGCAGCACATTTAAGTTTCTTCCTGGGTTTGAAAACCAACTAAACAATGTGATTAAACAATTAGAAGAAAAGGGTTATGGATTGATTTGTGGTGAGCTATGAATGTTTCTCTTTTGTTACAGCCTACACAAACCAATGATAATGTCTAGATAGTACAGGCAAATGCAAATGCTCATACTTACTGTAAACACACACAGTGATAAAGTGAAGGACTTGCCCCCACCAGTTGGCGATTGGCGTAAGGAATAACGTGACCATTAGATAAGAACGGCAATATTGGAGGATTATGCAATCACATTGACAACATTTTTAACTTACAATGGCAGTGTTGCTAAACAATAACTTAAAGGTCCAGTGTGTAACATTTAGGAGGATCTATTGATTCTATCTGAAATGGAGTGTAATATTCATAGGTATGTTTTCATTAGTGTATAATCACCTGAATTTAGGAATCATTGCGTTTTTGTTACCTTAGAATGAGCTGGGTTGCCTCCCATGGAGTCCACCAGGTTAAATCACTATGTTTCTACAGTAGCCCAAAACGGACAAACCAAACACTGGCCCTATATAGGGCCTTTAGCGTTTGACCATAGATTCTCCTTCACACTTGGATGGGGAGGGTGAAGCAAGGGAGTTACAATCTGCAACTGCACCACTAGATTCCACTAAGTCCCACACACTGGTCCTTTAACATGCCCTAAAAATCAAGTTTTTGCTGAGCTCTAGTGGTTGAACTCGATGGTTCCCAACTTTTTTCCTTAACATCTTTGATGAGAAGAGAAATAGACTGAGCTGCAACAAGACACCTTTCTTTGTAGATTTTGTTTCCCTTTCACAAAAGGGCACATAAATAACAACAACCAAAAGAAAACATCAGTATCGGCATCGGCCCAGAATTTCCCAATTGGTACAGCCTTAAAAACATTATATTACGCCTTGTTTCAGTTGAATACCGCTCATTGTGTACATAACAGAGCAATCATATTCCAAAAGTGAAGTCTGTTTTGCAAATAAAAAGGTGGTTCACCTGAGTCTGATTGAAATACCCCTGGTTTCATGCACACACATACAGACACACACACAGCCTAACGCAGATCTGCTGAGGCTTATCACGCTGAGTTACAGCGACAGGCTGACAAAACATAGTGACACATACACATGGACAGACAGCATTACACACCACTGCTCTCTTCCCCTTTACTCCGAGGAATTGTATTCATTTTCTCCTTGTATTCAGCTGGATTTCAGCTGTTGTATTATTAATCCATATACATGCACTAGAGGAGGGATTGGCCTCATTCCGTCACTGACACACTTCCTCCTACAGTACCACAGCAACCCAGCACCCCCTTCGCTTGCTGTTGTCTCTGTCAACGGGTGATGCCATTTCATCCCTGCCATGCCCAGTGCCCTTGCTGCATGCCAGGGCTGGCAGCAGCTGATGTTTGAGCACACATCCATCACCCATCTCCCGTTACTGCGGTGAAGTACCTGAGTTGGTCTGGGCTGATTGTTGGGAGGGTTCTCCATTTAATGATGCACCAGAAAAGAGTCTGTACAGAAACTGAGAGTTATTCTGGCACATCATTCAAACTTTCAAACTAAGTTCAACTCAAGAGGCCAAGTGCTAGCCAAACAAACCTAGCTAAAGACTCTTTCTAGCCAGGAGGAAATTAGCTCCATTTGTGAGTTTTGTTTTTTTTTTCAACCTGGGTTCCTGCCAGTGAGCAAAAAGCTTCCCAATACTGGAATCTCCTAATACTGAGGGCCTGTCCAAACTAATACTGACTATCATGAGAACCAATACTTCAATGCAAAAGTTCTGAAAATGTGACGGTACTTGTTTTTTTACAGTACCATAGGTACCTGGGATGCAATTCTTCTGGACCTGATCATATACGTCACAAGTAACTGTCTGCCGTTAAATGCCACCAGAAGAAGGAGAACGCCTTCCAGCATGGTAGAGCAACAACACGCTGATGATGGCAACAATTGCAGCTACAGCCACAGTTCCACCTCGACTCATTGAAAAGTAAAAGAAGAAAACTTTTTCACATGTGAACTCTGAACAACGTCCTGAGAATCAGGTCGTGCATTGTCTATGTTTGCCCTTTCAAACATGTAGCACACAACATGAGATTGTCCGTGTCTGACGTGTTCTCACACTCTCCGCACTGAAAAGTTGCATACAACTGGAGTCCAGCTGGATCTGGATCTAACAATGGCGGCTTGCTGTACAGTAAACCCCACTCCAGGAGAAGCACTCCGATGGGCCCCACTGCTCTCACGAACTAATCCTAGGCACAAACTGCCTTCACTCATTCAGACATGAAAGAGTGCCGACAGTGTCTGTGCAGCAGAGTAACACCAGAGAGAAGTGATACTCACCTCCGTACAGACATGTGAAAACATTCTGATGAAAAGAGCTGCACAGATATAATCCATCATCTTTTCAACCATGAATTCTCCTCTACTCTGTGGCTCTTTTTTTAACATAGAATCTTGTGTATAATGTTGCATTGCCATTATTGCTACAGATAAACACATTAGTGCTCTAACAGGTGGATGCAATCTAATGGGATGAGAAGAGATGGGATCAAGAGGACAGGATCAGGGTATGGGGAGTGAAATGCTACAACATGCTGAATCTTTCTCTGGCAGAGTTTACATGCCAGGAAAAGCCCAGGTATAATGAATAGCATTAACTAGTTCCATTTAAGTATCCAAGGACGTCATAGCACTGAACTATCACCAAAAGAGTCAGTCAGTCAGATGTAAGACTCACAACTCGATACAATTCACGGTACTGGCTTTATGATTTTCTCAGGAGATTGAAGACCAATGATGACTGCAAAAGATTCATTAATTTCTCAGGCACTCAGGGAGGGTATAAACACTGACAAGTTTTCAACTACGACTTCCCAGATGGTTCTGAGTAACAAACCATCTTGCGTAGTCAGGTTATGTGTATAGTGCAAAACCATGAATGCTTTTAAGCAGAGACCGAGTAGTGTGTACTGTTTGCTCCATCTGTAAAGTTCATTGCGTCTTACTCCTTTCTTTTGCCAATTTCATACTTGTACCTCGTCAGTGTGATGCCAATTTTACATCTTGGTCTCCTGTCTGAACTTTGACATTCACACTGGCAATCTTACTAGGTCAGACCTAGTAATATTTCATAACACCTCCAATACAGCACAAGTCTGAATTAAGAGCTATAACATTAACATAAAGGCTGCAGCTGCATAAAGTAAAGTATGCACCAAGAGATTAAAAAGGCACTATTCATTCGGCCTAAAAGCACTGTAATAAATACTTTTAAAAAAGCAAATGGTTTCCAACACATTGGCCATATCAAGTATAAAGTCATAAAGTAAATGTGTTTACAGCTTGTTGCACTGCCCCCAATTGGTCAGAATAAAAGATTATTACAAGCTTAAATAAGCCTGTGAACAGAGTAAAATGATGTGACAATGTATGAGAAACCAGAAACCTCATTACTACCTCTTGCATGCACCAGGAGCCAAATAATGCACAAAAATGGAGTTTCTTTCAATAAAAGTCCTGTCATGTCTTAATGAAGCCATAACCAACAATTACGTGACAGACACCTGAAAGACAGTAGTTTCCATTTCTGATAAGCAGTTAGCACTTTGCATGGCAGCCTCTGCCATCAGTGTGTGAATGGATGAATGTGAAAAGTGTAAAGTGCTTTGAATGGCCAGAAGACTAGAAAGGGGCTACATAAGTGCAGTCCTTTTACCATATCTGCTCTGCTTGAAAAGCTCAGTTTGTAG